TATCCTCTTTATTTTTTATGACAAGTAAGGTATATAAAAATCTCTTTCAAAAATCTTTTTTTGTGTGTGTGTATTTGTGTGTGGCTGGCCACAGAGATCCAAAATCATTTGATTTTGAACATTTATTAGTTTATATATTTCATAACTCTCTACACTCGACTGTATCTCCTAAAACTATCTTTATTAAAACAGAATTCCAAGGTTATTGAAGTTTCAAGATTTAAATTAAAGGCTATTGACAAAATAAAATGCTAATATTATTCATTGTAAATAATTATTTTTACTTTATTGGTAAAATACTTTATTGCTACTTTGTGTCAATTATTATATTTCTTATAAGATAATTCTTAGTTACATATATTTATTGTGTCAATTGTTTTCAGTTTCTAAATTATTGTCAGATACAGAATTTTTAGTTTTTGCTCTTATTATTATTTTTTAAAATTTTTATTGACTCAAAATTGATTATACATATTTTTGGGGTTCAATATTGAGATACGTTGGTCAAATCAATATTACTAGCATATATATTGTTACAAATCGTAATTATTCTTTATGCCCCTTGTCCAATCTCTCCCCATCCCCCTCTCCCTCCCCCCTCCCCCCTCTAATTACCCTAGATTTCTTCTGTCCTTCTGAAAGAGTAATGGTTACTTTGTTGATTTGTTGCCTAGATGATCTGTCCAGTGCTGACAGGTGTGATCAGGTCCTCCAATATTATCACAGAACAGACGCTTCCTCTGTCACTCTGGAATGGGCTTTGTGGAGAGACATTCTCCTCCTTTATGTCTGTTGGTGACTCTCCTTGTGTCAGTCCATTCCAGGGGCTGGCGGACCATCTGTGTGGTGGTTGTGGCGTCCAGCTGCTTTCGCAGTAGCTATGGTTATTTTAGTGGGTGTGGTGGGCCACCCTCATGGATGTGATGTTTTTGGCATGCTCCTTGGTGCTGGCAGTGTGCCTGGTTGTGGGGAGTGTCTGGTCCCCATCTTCATGCCTTGGGTCCTTGCCTCGATACCTCAGGTCCCTGGGTGGGCCCCAAGGCGCTGGCGTGGTGTGCGTGGTTTTGGGAGGGGGGGCCCAGTCCCCTTCTCCATGCCTTGGGTCCCTGGGCAGTCCCTGAGGTGCTGGCATGGTTCCCCGGTTGTAGGAGGGGGTCTGGTCCCCAACTCCATACCCCGGGTCCCTGGGTGGGTCCCAAGGCGCTGGCACTGTATGCTTGGTTATGGGTGGGGGGTCCAGTCCTCTTCTCCATGCTTCAGGTACCTGAATGGGTCCTGAGGTGCTGGCGGCATGCCTGGATGTTGGAGTGGGGTCCAGTTCCTGGCTCTAAGCCTCGGGTTCCCAGGTGGGCCCCAAGGCACTGGGTGTGTGAGTGGGTGTGAGTGGGGGTCCTGTCCCCGTCTCTAGGCCTCATGTCCACAGGCAGGCCCCAATGCACTGGTGGTGTGCCTGGGCTAGAACTAATTTTTTGTCCTTTGCTTACTTCTAAAATGGGGGAACTTCCTGTGGGAACCAGTACTTGAACTCTGGGGTTGACCTAAATTGCTGCTTTGCTGCTGTTTCCCTAGGGAAAGCTTTTTGTGTAGCTCAGGGTTTAATGGTTGACCTTACAGGTACTTCCAGCTCTCCAGAGACCCGGTGCACCTGGGTTGTGTAGAACCTCTGACCTGGGCCTGAGATTTTTCATCAAACTGCACCCCCTACAATTCTGCATTCCCGACCAGTCTCCTCTGAGTGGTCCTGCGCTGATTGGGGGGCTGATTGGCTTTCCTTTCTGTGTCCTGGTGTTCTCCTCGTGGGCCTGTCTTCCCCACCACCCATGCTTCAAACACTTCCCATGGGACAGGCTGTGCACCGGTCCCTCGTGATGACTCACTGGTCTCTGAATGGCTCCCGTTTTTCAGCTGTTCTAGCTCCTCCTGTGTGGGTCCACAGGAACCCTATTAATGGTCTTGCTGTCCTGGGGGCCACCAAGGCCCCCTTTTTCCCTGCCGCTTCCAAATAACTCCATCTCAAGGGCACAGCTGGGGCTTCTGCTGGCTCCTGCTCCATGCACTCAGCAGCTTAAGCATTAAAGCAGCGATGACCTGAAACTCGCAGAGCAGTTTTTTCTTCCTCTCATCATGGTTTCTCCCACCTTCATGAACTCTGTAGGCCTCTCCTCCTCTTCCCCTGAGCTCCAGTGGACCCAACTTGGCTGATGTTACATTTTTATAGTTCTAAATTGGTTGATTTGTGGGAGAGAGTGATGCTGGGGACTATCTATTCCGCCATCTTGACTGGAACTTTCTGCTTTTATTATTATTACAACACTTGTTTGGGTGTGTTCCAAAGTCCAACCTGTGTTTGAATGTTCATTGTGCTATTTTATGTTTGCTGATTAATAAATCACAAA